ATAATAAATTAAATTAATTTTATATATTTTTGTATATTATATAATATAAAGAAAGTAGAAATATATTATTTATATTATGAGATGATACGCTTTATTAATAATTGTGTATCATTTATAGGGAAAAGAAGATATTGTTGTTGTTGTGTGTGTGATATAGGACAATTGAAAAGCTTGATTTAACTTGAAGAAATTCTCATTTAGTTACGTCACTGCATTTGTCTCATTGTTTATCCGGGGCAATTTTTCGCATTGGCGATTTCGGCTCTTTCTCGCCGCCACATCAGGCACGATGAAGCTTTTCCATCCGGGAAACGGGAAAGCTTCCAGAGGAAAAAACGGTGAAGGATTTTTCGTGTTGTGGTTTAACGAAAAACGCCACGGTTTTACACTCATTCCGTGCTTTTTGCTGGCACTTGCTGCAATTTGTCTTTTTCGTAGAATTTTTTAGCACGTTTGTTTATTATCGCTCTGCTATTGTTTGGACAAAAATAAAAATTATTTAAATAATTAATTTATGCAGGCGATACTTTAAAGAGCAAGTATATTGTCTAGTAATTTAATAAGCAATTTTGTGTGTGTGCTTAAGCCAAAATATCATTATCCTAAGAAACTTATATATGATGTGATATTCTTTTCTTTCCCGATTATATTTTAATTTTAACGAGGCAACAAATTTATTACAACATATACACGTACAGTTTATTTACCCTTTACTTTGATATTTTTAAATTACACATTGAACATCGTTAGTTTAAATCCAAACAAAAATAATAAGACATTCAAATTCGTTAATAATGATATGTAAGAGGAACATAAATATTCATTTAAATTATTTTCTGACTGTGGAAAATAATATTTTTTAATTTTGTACGTTTTATATTTTCGATAAATGAATGCTACTTATATTTCGAGCTGATCGTGAGAGTTGAATCAGGGCTGAAGGTTAATAGCTGAGAATTGAGACCAAATAGCTGAGAGTTTGAAATTTAGAGTTGAGAATTGAAAGTTTGTACACATAAGTTCACAACTTTACTTAAAATTATATTTTAAGATCCCAAGATATGATACCTTCTTAAGGACATGATTCTCGCAGCGCTTTATTACCGAACGCATCTGCATCGAATATACAATATCTAGTGAACGTGAATGAAATTTCTCGCTAATGAATCGCGGATTCGACTTCGTACGCTTATCCGCGAAATAATATCAAAGACGGATTCTCGCTTTCTGCCGCTGTCGTCGACAACTCTCTCACCCGCATTTCGTTTTAAATAGTTTCGAAAAACAAATTCAAGGCACTGTATGTACTGTATGTATCTACTATACGCATCTCATTCGCTTTTCATCTCGACGTTGACAACGACGTGCTGGATTAAGCGCCGCGCGATTTTATTCATTCCGCTCTTCAACCGCGCGCTGATGAAACCGGGCAGGATTTCGCGAGCAAGTTGGAGAACGAAGCGCTCCCCAGGAAGCGATGCTCGTCAACAAGCACTTGTCAGGAAGCAATAAATATCACCGCTTGTAAATATCGCGGTTAGTAACAATAAATCTCGCGTTACTTTAGAATTTTCCACGAGATGAGTCTCAAAGGACAGTAAACGAACGCGCTCTCGTCGCATGTTTGATAATCTTACATAGCCTAGCACATTTGAAGATTTATATGTGCAATATATATCTTATAATCAATTAGTATAAATCAAATTATTTAAACACACTTAAAGATACAACTAAAAAATATAAAATAATTGATTACAAATATTTCTTAAAAATAAAAAAACAACAGATTTTTTTTTTAAGTACTTTGTATATACATTTAAATTAGTTAAAATTATGTTTTTAGAAATTACATAAATAGATAAAAATATCTCTATAGTTGTGTGTGTTATTGTCTGTTCTTGAACTTTTTAAATATAGTTATCTAGCGGGTTCCCACAATCAGTACCAGTTTTTTTTTTTTTTTTTTGGTAGACAAGAGATTAGGAGAAATGTAGATAATCTAACTAGGTCACCGGTACCGAGTGTATATCAGTGACCTTTGCAGCTGAACTGCTGTTATAGACCTTGTCCAGTTTAGAAACTTTATTGAGCAAAGAAAAAACGCAGTGTAATATAGAGTTTAATATTATCAGGGGAACACGCATACATGCACGCGTGAAAATTTAAAGGGCGCATATTGCACGGTCGAAAAACTATAATGGATAGACTACGAAAATACAATATAATACGAGGTATTCCCTAGTTCGAGATAACCCAAGTTTCAACAATATGTTCTAAAATTTTGAAACCAAGATCTCCGACAAATGATGAGGTACGTTAAAATTCCTTATATAACATCATGCTCCGTGTTTATATTTTTTTGTGGTTTAGATATTCTTTACGTTAAAACTAAAATGTTTTATTCATAAAACGATATATTTGATCTTTAAAATAGGATAAATATCTTTTTTCATATTTAATTGGAATTTATATGCATACTGAATTTTTTACTCAGAATGATATGTTTTTTTTTAAATCATTTTTCATCTGGGAAATTTATATATACATGAATAATGTATACATGTATATGTGTTTGGTAGTATCATGGACGATTATAGATATATCACTCTGTCGGCACTCGTTTCCACGCTATGTGCAATAAAATGTAATAATCTGTCAAAGCATTATAAGCACTTTACTCTACTCGCTTACCACTATCGAAATCTTTTTTTATTCGATCGAGATACGTCAGCTCGGTCAAGGCAAATAAATGAACTATCGAACATGTCCTTCCGAGAATGGAATCTATCCTCGACCCTGTTTGTCCACTGGATACTGAATAATCATCACGATGCATGACATTTTTTAAATCAAATCGAGAAAGGGGATGTCGTTATTATTTTACATTTATTGATATTTAAATTACTCCAAGAGGGATGAATTCTGCAGCAAAGGAAAAAAAATCTCAATATTCTATTGATATTCTATTGATATTATTCTGTTTAACGTAATATAAAATAGAATTAATCTCTCTCTCTCTCTCTCTCTCTCTCTTATTTTTAATTATCTCTCTTATTTTTAATTATATTTCATTAAATGATTAAGAAATACACACATGTTTTTATTAATATATTTAAGAATATTTTTCAGTATTTATTATTAAAAAATGTTGAGAAAAACATTTTATCTCGTTATTAATCGCGTTTGATGAAATAATCATGTAATATATATCGCCACAAAAAACTTTGCTGTCAGCGTCTCGCACAACTCTCGCATCAAACTTGGTTTACGCAGCTTGAGATTCGCATAAATCTCGCATAAGGTTCGAAAGTAAAACTAACTTATTAATGAACGCACGTGTTTAATGTTCGGCGCGTAAACTGGGCAAACAACCGGGGTTTCCGCTTACATAGTTTTCCGTAGAGAAGCGAGCTCTTCTCTCTCCTTGCTCGCCAACTCCCATGAGATGCACTCCTCGTACGTGACGACGTTTCTTGCATAATGAAGCTATATCGTTCGTGTCCCGCTTTCGTGGCTCGATATCGAACGAGGTCTCCGCCATGCTTCCGGATCCTTCTCCATTCAGTCCTTCCTCTTGGATACATCGAGAAAGGAGATCTAATTCGATAGTGCATTTAATTTAACTCTTAATAGAAGTTTAAACGCTTTAGAGATAGAGACTTTGTGAGAAAGAGTTTGATGGAAAATTTCTCTCGAGAAATTCGACGAATTCGTCTTCGCGACGGAAAGCGCCTCGATTAATTCGCAGAAGATGACTTTGGTAGATTAATCGCCTCGTTAATCCCATGTTACCGTCCCCGGGCGATGCACAGCGATGCCCGTATAATCCACGTTGCGCAGTTCCTCTCTCGTTGTCTTATTGTCGGAATAACTTAATATCGCCGACGTGTAGTCGGCGAGATCGTCGCGACGACGAAGCGCGAGCTAAGATGCTCTTCGTTCGACTTAACGGCATTCTCGTGGCAGATTAGGTCGAGTGAGACCTAAGTAATCCGGGTGCGGAGCGACGAGGTACGACACACCGGTATAGGATTAACCGAAGCTCCGGCGAACCTGAAGCCGCGCGGATGCAGTTCCTCTCTCGTTGTCTTATTGTCGGAATAACGTAATATCGCCGACGTGTAGTCGGCGAGATCGTCGCGACGACGAAGCGCGAGCTAAGATGCTCTTCGTTCGACTTAACGGCATTCTCGTGACAGATTAGGTCGAGTGAGACCTAAGTAATCCGGGTGACGAGGTACGACACACCGGTATAGGATTAACCGAAGCTCCGGCGAACCTGAAGCCGCGCGGATGCTGCACGCTTACGGATTTTGACGTCGAAATTTTCGCAGGTCCGCGTCATTTACGCGCGATTTAAGGGAAGCATTAACCATTTTGCGCTTTTAACATAATGTAACATCGTCAGATAGTGGTGTGTAAAGTATGTTTAAGCGCACTAGCTGTAAACTAATGCGGGCATCTTAGGCGGTGTAGAACTGACGGCTGCATCAAACCCTGCGTTAGTCATTACACAAGCAGAATAAAAAAATAACTCTGTATTCAAATTAATAAGCTAGTAATTGATCGAAAAAAAACTTATATTTACATCATTTGTGTAAAAAACATTGTATTTTAATAATTAAAACCCAGTGGATTAAGGCTTAGAATCAACTCTTTTAATTTTTGACGTTTGCTCAGAAATCATTAATTTTTAATACTTTCAACATTTTTCTCTTGTAAAAATAAAAACAAAATTCAGCTGTTTTAATATATATCTTTCTAGAAAATCAGCAGCCAGCAACAAGTAAGTCATAACGTACGGAAAAGTAAAGACGTTCGAAAGTGATTATAAAAACATAAATATTTTCAAATTAATTATAAAATTTCATATAAATGAAAGGGAATTATTTATTTTGTTTTTAAACATGTATAATTAATATAAATTATATATGTGCGATTTTATGATTATCTTTATATATGATCGTACCCTTACAGTTTAATTTGTCTGCTTTTAACAGGAATCCGACAGTCTGGCAGTGTTCTCCGAGTTATTGAGATACACGAGCGTGCGTGAACTGAGCCTGTGCAACGCACGCTTGCATTTAGCGGTGCATGAGGGTCCTTTGGCGAGATTAGGACGTCGCGACGATGCCGGCGCCGAGCTTCTTCGAGCCGCACCACCTCCGGCCTGCCCTGCGATCGTTTTCCTCAGACTAGCGGGATTCCAGGTGAGCGAGACTATTGTTTTCTCAAGTATTGCTCCGAAAATCGGAGTATAGATAGTCGAAATATTCAAGAGTACAAGTGTCATTGAAATTTCTTAAAAATTCGAATATGAAGGATAAAAACCGGTGATATTTTTTTATTTTTGTAATTAATATTGATTCAAAACATTAAGAATTAATTTTCTTATCTTCAAGTTTTCATTTCAAATGCTTGTAATATTTATAAATATATTACTATGTGAGAAGATCACGGTTTACATTCTAAAATTAAGAGACTTATGTGACTCCAAACTATCTTATATAATATTATTCGAAATAGAGTATGTAAAATAATTAGAAGGGAAGCTATTAAATGGTCTAACTCGCTTACAAACTCGCTTACGAACTCGCTTACGAATCTAGTCCCAGAATATAACAACTTTGATGGTTAATCACATATGCAATCCCATTATACTAGACTAACATACGAAGCTTGTCCATCCACTGATGCGGTTATATGTCTTCAAGTGCGCTACATGCGAATATCCGTATCGTTACGAGAAGATAACACACATAGTATAACGGTATCAGTAGTAGACGCAAATGTAACTGTCCGTCTCTCTGCCCGAGCTCCCCTGAATGTATATAAGGCTGTATACCTATCGTGTTTCCGAGATCTCGCAGAATCCATTAGATACACTCGCGCCTCGATCCAGGGCAGAACAGTTCGTGATCCGGGTTCCTATCTCACGGAGATGATCCGTTGGAAAAATGAATCTCCGCTACGGTTCATGAAACACGTCACGAAGAAAATCGGTTAGGCCACCGAAATACCGAATATTGTGTTCCCCCGTCTAATATCATCTTCCTTTCCCTGATAATTTTGACCCTAGTCAGGAAATTGTGAACGTGCTGGACCATCCCGTAACATCCCGGATATTGTCTCCTCGTCTAATATCGTTGCCCAAGGATACTGCTCAAGAAACTCCGACCCAAGCATCTTTGTCCAAGAATTCATCTAGGAAATTTTTTTATGAGGCTGAAAAATGCAAGATGTGTCAGTTATATCATAGTGCGCCACCGGTAAACGCATCTTTTATAGGAATAATATACGTATGACACGCAAATAAAATCTAGAAATAATCATTTTTAATGCTAGATATGTTTGAATATGACGTATATAATTTTAGCTACTTATTTTGGTAAAAGATGTATATTTATCTGTACATTTATAAAGAATAGATGAATATTAGAGTACCTATCCTATTTTCACGTTCGAAATGTCAATTCAATGCCCGGACTGTTTGCCAGATCTCTCTCTTGTGTGCTCTCCTTTCTTTATCTATGTAACTCATATATTTTCTATTACACGCTCAATTACAATCGGCTGTACCATGACGGCGATAAATAAAGGACGGCCCGAACCCCCTCGACATTCGTCTTCGTTGTCTCCGCATTACGCGACTCCCGATTCTGCTTTCCTTCCTCTGCACAGGGTGACTTTAAAATAAAACGCCAAACTTTGCAGGCGCGTTCTTCAGTTTTACGAATTTACAGTCCAGTTTTTTCTTAACAAAAATGTCTTCGCTTGTTTTCAATTTTCGACGTTAAGTATCTTTATTAATTAACTCTCTCCTTGAAGAGTTTGATGCAACAATTTAATCTAACCCACTTTTATTAAAAGCTTGAGAAGATTAAACTAATTTAAATTCTCTCTCGTGACTTTAAGATTGATTTTCCCAAGTTTTTAAGCTTCAAAAGCAAAAAAAAAAGATGTATAATTTTGCTAAAAAATGTTTAATTTATAAACTCTTATAAAAATTAAACTTTATTTTAAATATAAATTTTCACTATAAAACAAATATTCTTTGAAGTTTATTGGATTTATTTTCAATCGTTTGTCATTTAAAAACTAAGAAAATTAATTAAAAGTATTTAGAGAACTTATAGAAACGAAAAATTTCTTGCCAGATCTGAGGGACACCCTATACTCTCTTTTTATACGTCTCTCAAGCTGAAAGCGAGGGAAACAAATTGCGCCCGATAAGGTTTACCGAGGAAATTATTTCTGATTGCAGGTGACAGTGAACGATCGTTTGGCGCTGCGTGGACCATTGTTGCTACCGTTCCTGGCGGGTTTCACGTCACTGAGCGAGCTCGACCTGTCGCTGGACAAGTCGACGATCGGCGGCAGCAGCGGCTCGTTGCTCTTCATCGACGACAAGATATTGCAGCAATTTTTCTGCTGCCTGGCGGCGCATTTTCGCAGTCTGCAATCGCTCCGGATTAACTTTTGGCGGATCACTCTGGAGGACAGCGACCGCACGATGCGGCAGATTGCCAAGTATCTCAAGTTGTGCGGCCTGAGCTTTCTCAGGGCAAATGGCCTGATTGTCACCGACAGCGCCAAACGGGTACAAATGGAGCACGTGTTCGTGCAGACGATCCTCACGCATCTGCAAAGCCTCACTTGGTTGTGCCTGGACGGCGTCGAGCTTACCGAGACGCAGGCCACCAGTATCGGCAAGTGCGTGCGTGATCGTTACCCCGGCACCGCTTTGGAAATCAGTGCCAAAGACGTGCACGTGAAATCGGTGAAGGCTCTGGTGACCGCGGCCGAGGAAGGTGGCAGAACGGAAGTAGTTTATACCGGCGGTCCTAGTTGCCGCCTGAAGATCACGAAGATGCAGAAGGGTGGCCGGGGTAAGAAGAAATGAAGAGATCGCGAGTGATAATTTTAGAGGAAGTTACCCTGGAATAATTTGCCACGAGGCAAAAAAGAACGAAGAGTCGATCGAACGAAATGGTTTGATCTCTTCGCGGATGAGATTAGATTGTGGGACTAAAAGAATCCAGAGAGAGAAGGAAAGAGCTAGAGAACAAGAAGAAGGAATAAAGTCGATAGATCGTACTCCGAGGAAGATGTAGAGAATCAAACGAAAAATTAAAGAGGTAAAACAGAGATATAATAGAGATATAACACAGATTTTCTAGAAAAGACAAATATATCGGATATATATCGAGCGAGAATCAACGTCGATTTCAATCGTGTGACGCACGGTGAAGAAGAGATGAAAATGCAAGGGGATATAAAAGAGGAAATGCGGGTTAACTTTATGGATTTTTATCTTACTGTGATTTCGTTTCCTGCGCGTGCGTTTCGGGACGCGTTAATCTATAATATAGACTCTATGGATTGTAGCGATTATTAGCTCTCAAGGATGATTCAGCATAACAACGGAAGGTATTTTCGCTCATCTAACGTTTTCAAGAAACTAATGGTATCAAAAAAGCACAAAGAAATTTGTTATGTAAAGTGAGTTTCTAACAAAATGAATATCATTGACCGTCGATATTGAATCATATGAGTAAAAATGATGCCAAATAGCAAGAGAGCAAAAAGATTTGTTTGAAAATAAATATTTCTTTTAAGCAAAAAACAAAAAATATTAGCTTGTAAGCACCATTATCAGAATCGATATTAATAAATTAATAATAAAAGCATGATTGTTCTAAAAATACTAGCTTGCAAGTAGCGCATTATTATCAGAGTCGATATTAATAATCTCATCTAATATATGTCTTATTTTTCATTTACATGTTTTCGCATATTTTCTACAATCTCTTATACGAATAAAGTCTTTTCAGGCGGAGAAATTATATTATTTTCGATCACATATTTGGAAATATTCGCTTTAATGAATAGGAGCAAAATCACTTTTGCTTCATATTTTATTTATATAATTCATCATAGCTATAATCCATAATAACTATAATAAGTGGATTTTTGTGAATAAATCTCATTATTATTATTAGAATCCTAAAAAAGTTGATTGGGATTCTGTTGGATGAACGAAAGTTCGATGCCGTGTGTGTGAAAGAATCTCCTTTTTAATATTTTTTAAAGAACGAGGGGAAACGGAAATACTTATCGCGAGGCGAGAAGAATATTTAAGCGGGAAAACAAGAGGCTGTTGCAATTACATAAATAACGTTGTTGTTAGATGGAGATGTAAGATACGATTCAGAGTAATATATTATTTAGCGATATAGATCACACGATCGTCACACGATATTATTAAATGTTACGACCGACTGTCATTTGTGATCGGCGAAGAGATGCGGTAGCTTTACCGAACGAGTGGCGTGTTGTTGGGGATTTGAAGAAATTTTATAGAATAAATTTTAAACGCGCGGTAGAATACACGAAACACACATACACGTACGTGCGTATTACGTATATATTATGCGTTTTTCCGCGCGAAAGGCGTAAAAGGAAAGAAAGTCGAACATTCATAATTCTCTAAGATAAGGAGTACACAGATTGGCAGAAGAGGCACCGATGCAAGCTATTGTTGTATAAAATAATTAATTATTGTAATTAAGATGACTGCCAAACGTAATACTTGAAGATCCGCATTCTTCACGTGCTGCATTTAGCGCTAATGATGTTAATATATGTATATCGTTATCTAATAAAAAAAAGATCGCTTCCGATGTCATCGTGAATAGACGTCCGATCATCTTTAGCGCTAGATGTGAACTACGAATGCTTTGGTACCGTTTATCAATGTCGCGCAAACATTTTAGAAAGTCGTTCCTGCGATTGTGCTACGAATCCAATAATAAAACGTATCTTACATGAGCTGGAGAACGAGTTATGCGCGCAACGTGATTTTGATTAATATATGATCGATCGTGATCAATTGCACCAACGATAACTGCCATTCAACTGGAACCACTAATAAAAATACAAGGAAGCAATCGGCGAAACGCGAGGGATCTTTGTTGATTTTTGAGTTCCGCCTTATATAAAGCGCCGATCGAAAATCTGACATCAGTTTTAACAAATACGTATATAATATATACTGTAAAAAAATAAATATATTAAATGTCATAAAAATTTTATTATGGATCGGAATATATATATACTTGAGAAGTTATAAAAATAATACACAAAAATATTTTTAAATCTTAATTTTATTGGAGAATTTGATTATAATAATCTTACTAAAAAAATGTCTCGGTTTTGCTTTAATTTCAGTTTTTCATACGTCTTAACTTCAAAAAAAAAAAAAAATTATTGCATTTTTAAAACATTCTATATTAAATGTCTTTTGTGTTCAATCTTCAATTTAAACTTTTGAAAAAAATATTATATCATATGCGTCTGAAAATAATTCTATAATTAAATTAATTGATTCTAGAGAATCTATTAGCTCCAATACATTTTACTGAAAAAAATTACAGCTGATATATCAAGAACATAAGACTATTGCTTTTTTGATTTATGATTTCGGATTTTGTCTGGCGCTTATACAGGACAGTACTCGTTGAGAGTTTTCTCTCCCTTTTTGTGATGTTTTTCTAGGACGTACAGCATCATCCCGCGTAATCCTTTATTATTCGAAACTAGATACGTAAATGCTCCCGCTCGAGCGTGTGTACGACGAATTTTGTCATTTTTTATAGTTTGCTATGTAAATACATAAGAATTTCTTCGCGATTATACCGCGCGCCGCGAAAGAGATAACACCGCGCGATCTGTTAACATTTGTGAGCCCATTTTACGAAAAAATCAACACTCGGCAAGACTGAAGTTGATGGTCACACATATATATATATATATACATATACACTTCACACATACGCGCGCACACAAGTACATACACAAATATATATTAGTTACGTGGCCAAGCGATTAAAACCGCGGCGACTTGCGAGATAAGCGCCCAATATACTCGCACGTGCCAAGAATCAACTTGAATAATTTTATTATAAATATTTATGTATTTATATGTGTACACACATATCTTCTCGAAATAAATGTAATATGTGTTTGAGAACTTTGTGTCATACGATAATCATGCAATTCACGATTCAAATACTCGACATAAATGCGAAGCAAAGTTGCATAAAGGGAAGTGATACGATATTAAAACTATCAATTATTTTATATTGTCGTGACTATCATTAAGACAAAAAGATTACACTCGATTTATTGTTAGTTAAAAGTACGAACACGATTATTAAAATTTAAAAAAGATGATATGCAAAGGAAGATTTTGGAAAAATTTATATCTTTAATCAACATAATATAATAATATTATATTGATTAAAGCTAGTAATATATTTATTAATATTACACACACATATATATATATATATATATATATAAAAGTTACATGTTTAATTTATTAACATATATATGTATGTTAATAAATTAATCATGTAATTTTTTCATTTTTTATTATGAATTATAAGAAATTCGTGTCCCAGATGTTTGTAAAACGTCGATAATAATCATTAATTGACAAACATCAGATGCAAGCTATGAATTGCTAAGGGTTGAAGAGCCCATTGTAAGTATGTATCTTTATTATATTTACATGTCCCATTTATAATAATCACGCATCCGCGCATTCATAAGTCTATACAATGAAGATATTGGAAAAACGTAACAAAGATCCGCAAAGCATGATGCATTCTCTCATGCGTCGTTATACAAATATTCGCTCTTATCGTATTTGTCTGGAAAAAGAAAATCAATCGTCGCATCTAATATCGCGATATATAAACACGATCGTCTCTGCATGAAGTCAATAGCGACCGTAATAATTTCATATCCTATTATTCATAACATAATAGTTAACAATTTGACCTGTGTCATACTTGGAAGTAATGTCTCGAATAATATCTATGTATATTAACATGATACATGTAGAATACGTGTGTAAATGTCGCGCTACTCCTATCAATCTCTCTACAGTCGTAGAAATGCGATGAAATTGTCATTGTTACTCTAAATGTTTCGAGCCATGTCTATTACCTAATTGTGTGTGTGAAATTAAGAAATTTAGAAAAAAACATTGCGTTTAACGATACCATTTTTCGATTATCCATAGCTTTCTTAAAAACCTAGAAAAATGGCGTCTAAAAAAAAAATTTAATTGTAAATTAAGAACAAAATATTTTCTAGAAGAGAAAGAACACACACATATATTTTCCTTTGAATTCTTTGGATCTTGGCTTACATGCCTTTATAGGTTTCAATCTTTCATCATTAATTTAGTACTCCAATAAATATTTTATTTGCCTACAATATCGGTATTTCTAATAATTATAATTATAACACAGTTATAACTTTAAATTATATATAAATAATGTAAATTTATCTTCAGCAGTTGTATATTATATACAACCAATATTATTTAACAAATATTCCACACATGCTAAGTTATACATTTATTAATTCAATATATCACTTTAACAAAGGAAGATAGTACTTAGCATGGACGGAAAATACAAATTGCAACCTTTTTTTTAGATCAACGTATAAAATAATGAATTTGTTATGTAAAAGTATTCGCAAAAATTTCATTATGTATGTTACTTACTGTACATATTTTCCACTGTTGCTTGCACAGATATGACTAGCTTTCTACAGCTGTCCTCAGATTGCTATGGCCATTTGTGTTATTACAAGCTTACAATAATTTAATTCTATATAAATAATAAATCAGTGGTCCAATTATTTAAAATTCAGCACATTCTTTTGTTCACATTGTCTTAGAGGTCTTATTAAAAATATACTTACAGATGCACCTTAAAGTATCATTCCAAAAATAAAAAATCTAAGCAATGCTATTCTTACATTACGATAGAGCTAAATTAAACCTGGTTCGGAAATGCTTAGTTAGACAAATAGTTACAAGTAAAAGTTCGTACAAACAGAGAAATAAGCCTGCACTCTGGTAATAATGAGGTATTTGTATAAAGTTAAATAGCAATATTTATTCAAAGATTTTGGAATAGAGATGTAACTGACTGATGTTTTTAATACCTAATGTGTCTGGATGAGAAATAGATTTGTTCTTTAATTGTACATATTTGCGTTTTAAAAATGATTAAGCTAGTAATTTGATTTTGTTGGTATTCTTCTATATTTTTTTTCGAATTGTTTTTCGATCAATACTGTATCAGCAGAGTTTTTCTATAAGGCATACACAATTCTCAAACAATCTGTAGTCCAAGACAAAATTGATTGCCGTTGAAATACGTACAATCACCGACTTTTGACGCGGCGAAGACAATTTGTGGCACCGTCGTGTTTCTCGTCTCCTTGCGGCAAAGCCCGCAGATAAATACACTTCTGGTACATTTGTAAGAATATTCCACAACGCGCGTCGTGCTTTTCGTAGATCACATGGGAGCATAGTCTAACTGAACCGTAAGGTGTCTCACGCCCGCCGCTTGGAAAATCTTTTGGGTCGTTATCACGACAGATTTGGGATCCACTTCTCTGGCTACTTCCAATTTCAGGCATCCGACGTACACGTCCGAGCACAGTGTCCAGAAGTGTGGTTCCTGTACGCTGTACACGCCAGGTATCTGCGTCACTTTGTTGTAACACTGCGGTAGAATGTGATCTAGAGCTACCGGCTGTCTCTGCATAAGTATCTCCCACGATTCTTTCATCAACGAAACTACACTTAACACTATCAATACTGCTATGAGCATAGAGCAAATCGGATCGGCAATCATCCAACCGAACATTTGCATCAACACTGCCGATACGATCACGCCCACGGAGCCGAGTGTATCCGCAAGTATGTGCAGGAATACGCCCTTCATGATTTGCGAGTTTGTCCCACTGAATGACATTTCGACTTCGACATGATGATCAGAATTGTGATTCAGGAGAGAATAGTGATTGTCATGGGTGTGACCATGATGTCCTTTCGTACCATGATTATGACTGTGGCTGTGACCATGTCCATGTCCATGGCCGTGCCCATGTTGAAATGCATATATTCCTACTAAATTCACTATAAGTCCCAAGACAGAAACCATAAATAGTCTCTCATGTTTTATTTCCGGCGGTTCGATTGCCCTCTCCACCGCTTCTGACATAATGAACAGGGCTATGAATAAAAGGAGCAACCCGTTTACAAAGCCGCCTAAAACCTCGGCTCTAACATATCCAAACGAGTATCTCTCATTCGCTCTCCACCTTGTAATGACGGATGCCGCTAAACCAAACAATAAACCAGTGCAGTCGAAGAACATGTGAAAACTGTCCGAGATGAGGCCGAGACTGTTGGTCCATATTCCATATAGCAGTTCGACGAAAGCGAAGGACAAGTTGAGAATCAGAAACAGGAATAAATTCCGGGTATTTGGATCGGAAAAGATGAGACGTTTCCAACCCAACAGCTTCTCTTTCACTCTACTGCGGAAGTTGGAACGTGAATCACGTGGACTGTGCGAAAGTGGCAGCATTTTATAATTGCCCCGATGTCAATCTTATAAGCCAAAATCTCTCCTATAAGGAAAAAATTAAACATATGAAAAAATGCAAAGCAACAAAACAACATCAGGATAAGATTCGATAACTTTACATAATAATATAATCGTCAGTATTTTTTCAAGATACACAAGTAACAATTATTTTTAAAATAAAAAACACATGCATATGTTCCCGTAAAATATTCCACTCTTTCTTTATCAAAGTAACACATGCATATGTTACCGTAGAATATTCCACTCTTTCTCTATCAAAGTAACTATTCAGAATTTACAGAATTTTTGAAGATAATTTTTCAACATAAAAATATACCTATTATTGAAATATTCGAGAACTCGGAAATATTTTTATGAAGAAATCAGAGATAAATTATTAACTCTAATATAATTCACTATCACTACTACTGTTTATCAAAACAGGTAATTAATTGAATCGATCGTAAGTCACAACGTACAACATCTCCAGCTGTTGACAATACTATTAATTGGAGAACACACGTACACACACATTGCGCGTATGTCCGGTCGCGTGTACGGCAAATGCGGTGACACGTCTACGAGAATGGTGGGTAAACCATAACCTGCAATTCACCTCTTTAGACTCACCTCTTACAGCGATGAACCATTCGAGCCTACGGTGAATTCGGCGACGTTCGGCGACGTTCGGCGACGTTAATCACCAATCGTTTGACACATGCTGACTGTCAAAGGCGCGGAATAGCGGATCGCGCTCGAGATACACAAGAATGGAGCGCCATGCTTCGTAGCCACTCCTGACCTGACGGCGAGATCGGCAAGAGGGCCGGATG